TCACTCCACATTTCTCAGTACATAATATCTGCTGCCAGTGTTATTTTAAAATAACCACTTTGCACAAAGACAGGTACCAGTAACTGAATTCAAATAAGCCCTGACACTTTCATTGTACTTCATTGGGAAAATTCAATACTGAGTAAGCACTCCTGTAAACAATGAGAGTCATATACTATGCCAAGATTTGTGTGTTTTTTCTCATCACTAAGGACTTTGTTAATATTGAGTGCGTTAGAAAAGATCATACTATGCTAAAACTTGAGTGTACTTCAGAACTCGACAAGCCTATATGCTAAATAAATAAATAAATAAATGAAAGAAAGAAAATGAAAAGGAGAGGGAGTTTGTTTATTTAGTATAGTTTATGTAATACATATAGAGGTTAAAAGTTGGATTTAGAAAAACAGACCCTGTTGGAATTCCAACTCTTCCATTTATTAGCTGTTTGACTTTGGAGAAATTATTTAATCTCTCTGAATTTGCTTAATGCATGAGAATGACTGTGATAATGTTGAACATGCACCTTAACAGTAACTGTTACTTACAAAAAAAAAAAAAAAAAAAGTCTAACTTCTAGGAATGTACCATTTGTAAAGGGGATATAGCCTGGGGTAGGCAGAATGAAACTGTCTTAGGAATTCCATGTGAATACTGCCAGGAAGTTATAGATGCTAAGTATTGCTACATGTTTCCACAGTCATCTAATTCAGCCCATCTCTCATTTCCTCTCTTCCACATGCTTTCCCTCCAAATATTCACCCTTTAAATTCTTCTCTTTGTAAAAAAATATGGTGAGCACTACAGAGAGCAATCAAAGATGATCTCAGTTCCATCATTATTTCTGACAGTACCATGATGAAGTGGTTATATTAAAAAAAAATGATCTAATTGAGTTACTCTGGCCCCATTCCAATTTAACTATTTCTTTCAGAAAGGAAAACTTGCAATTTTAATTGGGAAGATTTTCCAGTCCTCACTGATACAGTTTTTCTTTTGCTTAAATTCTCTGTGAGCAATAATTATGTTGCTAACTGCAAAGACTGATTCCTTTTTCAGTAAGCATTTAGTGAGCCTCTACCTTGTACTCTGGTACTAGATATGGAGGTGAATCATTATATATTATTCTAATAAATCATCCCCCATTGGTTTATGTTAGACAAACCAGTTTTGTTGCATTTGACCAAAGTTAACAAACATTTCAAGAAGGAAAAAAATGAGGTTTGTTTAGGCAGTAATGAATAGTTATTATATAATTATATCCTAGAAAGCCTGTGGTTAGAAATAAAGTTGGAAAGGTTGCTTGGATCTGAATTGTGGAGGGCCTTGACTACAGGCTTGAGTGATCCAATCAAAGCCACATTTTTAGGAAGATTAAGGGTGAAGGGGGGTAGACATGGAGACAGAGAACCAGGGCTGTTGGTGGCATAGCTTCTTTTGTAAATGCTTACACTGTCCTGCATTTATTTATTCAATTCACCATCTTTTATTTATTTATTTTGAGAACCGATTATATATGCCAGGCTCATGACTAGATTTTAGGACAATAAAGGTGATTGATATGGCTCCTGTCTTCTCAGAGCCCCAAACCTAAAGGCTAATCAGACCTGTTATTGTGAGAAATGAATTATTAGGATTATGTAAAAGTTATAGTTGTTTTATGTTTTAAAAAAATAGTGATTAACTCTTGTTGAGTTAAGAAAAGCTTCAGAGACTTGGTGATTTCTGATGGTTTTTGAATAGTAGTTTGGACATGAGCATTGGGATTAAAACAGTTCTATACATATTCAAGGTTAAAGGTAAAAATTTAGGATCATAAATAAATAATATGATCATTTTAAAATTGATGAAATTCCCAGGGATGCAAATGATCACTATAAGGCAAGATAAGCAAGGACTGAACTCCAAGGAATACTGACAGTTGAAAAGATCAGCTCAAACAGAGGAAGCTAAGCAGAGAACTCTGAGCAAGAAGTGAGCATTTAGGAGAATCACAAAATTAGGTGTTATGGAAGGTATTATGAAAGGAGAAAGTTACAGAATGGGAGTAGCAGAGTGTCAGGAGCCACAAGATTAAACAAAAATAGGACCAAGAATGCCTATTAATTTGCATAAGGGAAAGGTTATGAATCCCAGTGAGAGCCATTTCAATGGAACAAGGAGGGTGGGAGCTATATTATAGGGAGTGGAGGGGGAGATGAGGAAGGGAACCGTCTACCTTTGCTTTCAGAAATGTGGGCTGTGGATGATGGGGAGAAGTGTTAGCAGCAAAGAGATGTGAAGGTCAAGGGAAGTTCTTTTGATTCATTTTGTTAATGAGAAAAACTGATGTGCTGTGTATTGGTCCTGGAAGTTCATGATATGTGCATTCCCAACAACTTAACAATTAGGAACAATATTTATCTTAAAACAAGATGTTCCTTCTGCTATGTAAATATATAATTTCACTCTTGATTCAAGATTGCCTTGTCTTATTTTGTATTCTATTCTCTCATATAAATACAATACTATTCTATAACTGTATACAGATGTTAGAGGGATTAGAGGGGCCAGAAGCAGATAAATTTTAGACTTATATTAAAATTGTAATCTAGTCATATATAGATTTATCTTTCTCAAGGAGGGAAAAAATCAGGTTGAATTCTAATTCCAAATTTATATTTTTCTTAGGGAGAAATTTATAGTATACATAAAATACCTTATGTGACAGCTACTCTAATCCCCACAGTTTGGGATTAACAAAAGGAAGGGTTTGGAATTAGCAAAATCTAATTACGATTTTAGTAAAATGATAATTTCTACTAAAGCTGTCCCATGTAGGGTTGACTTTTCTGAAAGGACTAGTCAACTAGTAGATATTGTACCTTTTTCAGGCCTCATGACTTTTTGAGTTAGTTGAATTAGTCTCATTAAATTCTATGTGAAATAGACAAATTTATTTATTTATTTGGTACCAGAGATTGAACCCAAGGGCACTTAATCACTCAGCCACATCCCCAGATCCCACCTTCCTTTTATTTTAAGAGACAGGATCTCACTAAGTTGCTTAGGGCCTTGCTTGGTTGCTGAGACTGGCTTTGAACTCGCAATCCTCCTGCCAGTCTCCTGAGCCACTGGAGATTATAGGCATGTGCCACCACTCCCAGTGACATGAACACAATTTTAAATAGAAATTTGTTGTCACAAGAAAACAAATTTTGGTTAAGTCAAGTATTCAGCACCAGGAACTAACTATACCTATCTCTGTCAGCTTTGTTTCTTTCTAAATGCTGCCTTCATTCCCAGTCAGTGCATATTCACTTTCTTCTTGGAGATAGACCAATGGATGCCAACAGCTTCTGTCACTGCTAAGACAGAAGAAAAGACTTTCCTCTTGCTCTAGAAACTTGATGGTTCCCTGGGATCATATGCCTGCCCAACAGACAAGTGTGACCAGGGGATTGAGATACTAAGATTAGTCCAGCTAAGATGAGATGTCTTTAATTTGCCACAGAACACAGGATTATATAAGGAGACAGCATTTTTCATTCATTTGCTTGGTAGAGGTGGGGCTGTTGCCTGGGAAGAGAAAGGTGCTAGGCAGAAAACCATAAATGTTCAATAAGCTTGATTAGCAGAGTCTATGAACAAATGGGCTAATTGATTTTAGAATAGGTTATGGGAAGGTTTTCTGAAATGATCTGCCACGTCTCTCTCAGAGAAGTGAATCATGGTTAGGTTATAATTAGTGGTCAAATTTAAATAAACCACATACTGACTTAGCACTTCACAATTTAGAAATAATTTCATTTGCATCAAACTTATTGGAACTAAAAATAAGCCAGTGGATTTTTTAAAAATCTCCATTTTAGAGAGTACAAGGCTGAGTCTTAAAATATATATATAGATAGATAGATAGATAGATGTGTGTGTGTGTGTGTGTGTGTGTGTATCTCCTGTCTAGGATCCTACAACCATTGAGTAAGCTTTGGATTTAGAATCAGTAGCCCAGATTTCAAATATTTCTTCTATTATGCCCTGTTCTTAACTGTGTGTGCATGTGTGTGTGTGTGTGTGTGTGTGTGTGTGTGTGAGAATTGAACCCAGGGCCTTGCTAGGCAAACACTTTACCCCTGAGCTACATCTCCAGTCCAATATGCCCTATCTTATGTTACTGAAAGTGTAATATTTAAAGGATTCTAAAATCTTGCCCATTTTAGGAAGTGTTTTGCTAAGGGACTTTTAAAGTATATTTATAAATCAGTTATTCCCAATGTGTTAAATTTATAACTTTGTAAATTCTTCAGGCCCCCACTAAATCTGCTGTTGTTGACATAGCCTATTCTAAAGAACAAAATAATTTTCAGTTTTCCTTAAAAACGTATGGCATGTTGGGCTGGGGTTGTAGCTCAGTGGTAGAGTGCTTGCCTCGCTCGCACATGTGAGGCCCTGGGTTTGATCCTCAGCACCATATTAAATAAGTAAATAAGTAAACAAGTAAAGAAAGAAAGATATTGTGTCCATTTACAACTAAAAAATATTTTTAAAAAATGTATGGCATCTCACTGGGTATGGTGGTACATGTCTGTAATCTCAGCCACTCTAGAAGCTGAGGCAAGAGGATTGAAAGTTCCACACCAGCCTCAGCAATTTAGCAAGACCCTGTCTCAAAATTTAAAAAGGGCTGGGCATGTGGCTCAGCAGTAAAGCCCCCCTCCCCTGGTTCAATCCCCAGTACCAAAAAAGGAAAAAAAAATGTATGGCATCTCTTTAACAATTAGGTAGCCGTAAGATTATGTATTTTCAGAAAACCCAGAGTCAATGGCTTAATGTAGTTTCTAACCTATTGAAGAATGCTATGCTCATTTGCCTATACTCTCTAATCTGATCAGAAAGGAAAAGGATATATAAAAATAGAAGTTTCCAAAATATTAAATGTATTTGATCCTTAATAATTCCTTGTTGTTGATGTTTTTTTTTTTTTTTTTTTTTTTTTTTTGTTGTTGTTGTTGTTGTTTTAGATGAGAAGAAACAAATGGTTGCAAATGTGGAAAAACAGCTTGAAGAGGCCAAAGAACTGGTATGTAGAGACTGTAACAGAGTCCTGGAAACACATCTTCCTCTAGCTTCATTTATGCATTGTGGAAGTGTGAAATGTTACTGATTGGTGTTTTTAATTCACAATTTGTCACTTTTTAAATTTAAGGGAATTTAATAGTTTCTTAAGATTTTATTCTTTTTAATGAACATGATCTGTTAAGTGTCAACCTCTAGTGTTTATTCCTTCATATTTTTCATAAGAGCTATAAATTGTTAATCCTTGATCAAGGCATACTAGGTACCAGACACTGGCATAAGTGTACATCTTGCTTTATAATATTTAATTTTCTCAAAAAACATGAGTCACAAGAATTATTTGTCAAAAACCATGAAGGGTCTGAGATGTTCCCATACTTTTAACCTGAGTGAACTTGTCAGCTTATAGAAGACATGAGACTTTTAAGTCAGAGACAAAAGACTTTTATCACTCATAGTGAAAATGGCTGCCAGAGTTTCAACCTGGTTCAATCAGTTCTCTGAGTTCCAGTTCCCACAGGATTGATGCAGGTAAGCACAGATATTTTCTTACACAAGCAAAATAAAATACTGTACAGGACAGGAACTCAGAGCCTGGGAAACAAGCCACTCTATAGCAGCCAGGAAGCATACCTGCTTACACCTGCTTTCTGTCCTAGAGAAAACACATTATTTCCTCCTTCAAGGTTATTTCCTATGAACAGAATATTGAAAGATAGCCCTGGTCAGAACCTTCCATTTTTGACACACCCAGCAAGCTAAATTGGAGCATAAGAGATTATCAATACTTTTCTTACCACCTTTTGAAGATTGGGACTGAGGTTTAAGTAACTTGTTTGAGACCCAACACCTTGTTAAGTGGTAAAGATTTGAATCTAAATATGTTAAACCCAAGGTCTGGTTCATTGACTACTTCTTCATGGAAATAAATCCATAAGTTAGGGAGGAAAAAAAAGAGGTAAAAAGTATTATTTCCCAATTTGGGGCTTTAAATGCCAAGTATTGCAAATATGATTCAATTTGTTTCTATGTATTGTGGTTCCAAATGAGTGTGTTAGATAAAGGTGTTGCTTTTCCACAGAGCTTTCTTGGACATTTAGGTAAGCTTAAGGACATTATGAATTTCTAAGAAGGGACTTCAAAGATTAGCCACAGATTGGAGCATCTTCCATGCTATTTGACATAGAAGTATTTTTTAACAGGACCATACATGAGAGGCTGCAGCCTTGGGAGGTTCTAAGGAGTAAGCAGTTGTTCCCAGTGGCACAGTAGATATTTCTTCTGTGTCTTTGAGTACTAAGGCATGGACCTGCGGAGTTGCTGCTCCATCTTCTCTGTCAGTGGTTCTTTGAGCTTTCAGAATATTGGATGCTTTCCGTGTCCCATAGTCTACTTCTAGACTCTGCTGGCTGCTCTCACTATCTCCTTAGGCTGATGTTACTGCCTCTATAAGGGTAGCTTTACCTTTTGCCTATCTTTTGAAAGTGTTCTTTTAATATTTTTCTCCTTACTTTAGTTTCTTTTTATATTCAACTGCTTCTGTCATGATTGACAGCTTTCATACAAAAAGACTAGCTTTTTATATGCCAGAGCAAGGAATCAGGACATGTCTTCTTTCTGATTGGTAAGATAATTATGAATTGACAACTGATAAATTCTTTGGATCTTGCATTGATTTCTTATACTGTTGTTGAGTTCTCAGTAGCAGGTTTTTTGCCATCAAGATTGGTGTTTTGGGACTGGGGTTGTAGCTCAGTGGTAGAGCACTTGCCTCACACATATGAGGCCCTAGGTTCAATCCTCAGCACTACATAAAAATAAATAAATAAAAATAAAGATATTAAAAACATAAAATGCATTTAAAAAAAAAAAAAGATTGGTGTTTTGGTTTATAGCCCTTACCCTGGAAACATTCTGTTTATCTAATGATGGAAAGCTGATCTTCTGATGACCAAGGTTTTACCACAGACGTATAGAAAGCATAAGCTGGCTTTAGTTATTACTAACTAAATAATAGTTAATTATTTAGTTATTATTATTATTATTCTAATAATAGAGGCTTTTGTCTAAGATACGTATTTCTGTTTGTTTAAAATGATCAGAAAACTGTTAATTTAGTTCTGATGACATCATTGTTAAAGACATTGTTGGTTATATTATATACTGTCCTGTAGATAAGGACAGTCATTAAAAAAAAAAGAAAACTTGTTTTCTATCTGACTGTTAGAATTGTTTCTGCTGAACAATTGCTTTGTATTAGTATCTTAGACACTGCATATCTTTTAACTCTTATGTTGAACACTGTGCATTGGCCACATGAAATGTTGTGACAACATGGGGAAAATGCACATTACACTTATTCCTGGTTTCATTTTAAGTGTTTGTTGTGTATTTCCTTTTTTTTTTCCTTACCTACTTTGAACTTCATCTTAAATGTTCTTGTAAAATGTCTTAAAGGAAAATGTGCCTAATTTCTCAGATATTTGATGTATCTGTACTTTTGCAATTGTTTCTATGATCTTATTCACCTTTTCAGAACTAAGTACTTAAGGATGACTTCAGAGAAGTGCTTTAAATAATTGCCTTGCCAAGTATGATTTAATTTGTTTATACTTCACAATTAAGTTGGAACATGTCAATAATTTAAATGATTACTGTTTAAATCAAGACTAATTAATATTTTCTTTTCTCTAATAAAAATTGAAGTTTACTAATGGAAATATGATTTGTGGGCTTATCTATATTCTAGTATAGTTATTCCATCTTTAACTCTGGACAATTAGAGTTTTTGTAGCTCAGTGACAAACTTATATTATTTGTGGAAATAACATTAGAATGATTTTAAAAGCAAAATACGTTGCAGCATTTTTGCATGTAAATTTACCAGGAATGGCTTGGGCCAATTTGTTATTGTTGATTTTTATTTTTTAATGCCAAGTACAAGTAAGCTACCTCTGCTCTATTTCTTCATCGTCAGTAATCATCATTACTATAGTTAACATTAATCTAGTTATAAAGTAAGAGACTCTGTTCTAAAACTATTATAGGAATTACTTCATTTAATCTTCACAGACCCTAGGAAAGAGAGGTTGTTTTAAGAAATTGAAAGATAAGCAGAAAGCTGTTAAAAATCCTTTTTTTTTTTTAATGTTTCTAAGACTAGTAAGTAGTGAGGCCTACAATGTGAACACAAGAATTTCACTACAGAGCCCATGTTCTAAACCATCATGGTATGTCTTTATTGCCACCCGTTAAACTTTTATGTGTTATATTCAAAGTGTTCTATGATGTTATAAAGTGCCCTGCTGTGGTTTCAGCGAGTGCTGTGTAATCTAGTATATCACTATATCCATTTAACCTCTTGTCCATGTGGCTGTAAAGTATGAGGCATGAGGCTGGTGTGTGATTTTCCTAATCAGAAAAGACTTTCCAGAGGAAATGATACCCAGTGACTAAGGCTGGACTGATGTTTCAGGAAATAATGATTTGGTTTATCTTTCCATCCTTCTGGAGATTTATAGTCTGAAGACCAGACCAGGTTGGACTGAATGATGAGGCTAACCCAAGGATATTAAAATCAAATTATTGAGAATGTTTGGATTAATGCACATGTTTTAAAGGAAATTCTTGACAAAGCAAGCAGCTTGGCACTCTGTTATTTGGCAAGTACTGAGTAACTGCTTGTTGAACTAAATGAAAATTAAGCACAAAAATAGTTCCAGTGTTATTTGATCATAGGCAGTCAGCACCTTGGGCTGAGTTCCTCAACTTTAAAATGAGGATTTGGAATGAAATCCTTTCAGCTCCAAGTGTTTGGTCAAATAAAGAGTAAGCATATGGTTTAAATCAGGCTTTTCTCTCTCCATTCTAGCTTGAACAGATGGATTTGGAAGTCCGAGAGATACCACCACAAAGTCGAGGAATGTACAGCAACAGAATGAGAAGCTACAAGCAAGAAATGGGAAAACTCGAAACAGATTTTGTGAGTTAAATCCCATCTTTTGTCATGCTTACTGGTTTTTAAACTGAATTTCACGTATTTTTTCCTCCCTCTGCCTTAATCAGTGTTAAGTCATCATCTCCAGGGACTTGTGCAAAAGGCAAGGAGCAGCTTTCATGTGTATGAATTAGAGAGCTAAAATGGCAGTGGAGATAGCTAATGATGGGACTCCAGGTGTGCTGGATTCATGACTCACAAATAAATCCTAATCATGTGGTTCTTTGAGTTTGGATAGTATTTATTGGTATTTAGTATTTATTAGAACTCAAAACCCAGTCTCTGGCCTTACAGAGTATGTAGCCTTTTAGATGCAGTGCCAGGGATGGACTTCAGGGCACCAAGTCTCCTGAGAGTTACCCCTATTTTTGAATGCATGTTCCTTTGTGTGTTTTTTTCTGACATAATCTCCGTAGATTCATTAGAGACTTAAAAGATTATATTATGTCCCTCCCTGCAAAAGGTAAAGTGAACTACTTTAAATTAATAATTTAAACAAGTGATCCTTTATATTGGTTGCCCCATGAGAACATCTGTCTTTCTCTTCCTCTATTTCTGGCTTTGAACTCTACCCAGATTATAGCAAATTTAAGAATATAAATTTAAAGACAATGTTGGAGTTGTGAATAAATAGAGTAGAAAAGACACAGATAAGCAAATCCCACTTCTGGTTATGTTTCCAAAAGAATGTAAAGCAGAATCTCAAAGAGAAATTTGCACACTCATGTCATAGCAGCATTTTCACAACAGCAAAAAGGTGGAAGCAAGCTGTGTGTCTGCTGATTGATGAATGGATAAACATGTTTCTTCAGACAATGGAATATTATTCAGTCTTCCAAAAGAGGGAAATTCTACAATGCTACATTGTGGATGAATCTTAGGACATTATGCTAAGTGAAGTAAGCCAGTCACAAAAAAGACAAATACTGCAAACATCCATTTGTTGAGGTATCTAAAGTAGCCAAGTTCATAGAAAGAGAAAGTAGAATGGTGGTCACTAGGGACACAAGTTGTTTTATGGCATAGAGTTTCAGTTTTGCAAGATGAAACATTCAGTTGAGCAACTACAACAGTTGGATGTGTTTAACACTCTTGAACTGTACCCTTGAAAATGGAGAAGATGGCAAATTTTATATTACATATTTTACCACAATTAAAAATAATTTTTAAAGACACACATAAAAATATTTGTAAAACACTGTGAATGATAACTAAATGTTCTTTTATAGGCTGGCATAGGAAATTAGAATTTCAGTTAATAAATTTCATATCAGTCATGTTAAAAAAAATGCAGGTGAGAAAATATCTGAGTCTCACCAGTGAGTGACAAAAGTTATGTGTTGATACATAAATCAGGTGTGGATATGATTTGATCTGGGGTACAAATTCATAAGGAAAGTCAAGAATTTATAAGGATCTTTCCCTCTAAAGTGCAATAAATCTTTCCACTACAATGCCAATGGCAAGATTAAGTATTTGTTCTAATGGAATTTCTCTATGAGTCTGGAAATAGGGTGATTTGTACTTTTTTTGTATGTTTATTTCATGGATATTTAATGAATATTTCCTGAGAAGTTTCAATGGACTGCCTTAGTCACTGTTTTAGTCAGCTTTCTGTGGCTATAATGAAATATCTGAGATAATCAACTTACCAGAAAAAATTATTTTGGCTTATAATTTCAGAGGTTTCAGTCCACAATTGATTGGCTTGATTTTTTGGGGGCCTGTGGCAAAGCAGAGAATCATGGCAAGAAATATGTGGTGGAGCAAAGCTATTTACCTCATGACAGCCAGGAAGCAAAGAAATAAATAGGAAGGGGCTAGTATCTCAATATTCTCTTCAAGGGCTATCCTGCCCCACCATGACCTAACTTTCTTCCTTCCTTCCTCCGACTTCCTAGAGGTTCCACCACTTCCCAGTAGTGCCATAGACTGGCAACCAAGTTTTTAGCATGAAAGTCTTTGGGGGACATCTGAGATCTAAACCATAGCACTCGCTCCAATACAAGTAAGTGCCTGTTAAACTGGGCTCCTATTGATTGTTTTGAAAATTAGAATCCGTGATGTTCCTGAATTCAGAAAAGAAATGTAAATTCTTAGCTTCTGTGCTATGTAGTAAATAAAACCTTTTTCAAGTGCTTTCTGAAAAGTTGGTGTCTCTCAGCAAGAATATGAGATATAGTGGGGAGATTGGATTTATTTAGGAACTTGACACCTTAAATTTCTACTTATAAAATTCTAACTAAAGTTAACGAAACGTTTAATAAAAGTGATGAAAGTAATATTAAAACATTTATAAGGATTATTTTCATTTGCTTATCTCATTCTTATGGCATGCTTTTCCCAAAATTTTCCTTCTGGATTCTAGAAAAACGAAGTGTGTTAGCTTACTAGAGCTACCATAATGAAGTACAGTCTGAGAAGCTTGGAGCTTGTTCTCAAAAGTCCAAGGTTGGGGTGTTGTTGGCTACAGTAGTTCCACCTGCAGCCTCTCTCCTTGGTTTATAGATGGCTTCTTGCTGGTCTTCAGACAATCGTCTACTCATGTATGTCTGTGTTCTAGTTTTGTAAGGACACAAGTAATTTTGAGTTAAGACCCACACATTTTAACTTAGTTAATTCTTTGATGACTGACCCTGTCTCCAAATACAGACACTATCAGTCCTGAGGATTAAGATTTTGACACAGATATTTGAGGAAGATAAGTGTTCAGCCCAGAATAATAGTTTAGTTATCATCTTTATTCTTAATTTTTTTTTCAAAAGTTAAATTATTTTTGTGGATTATTATGTCATCTAACTCAATGTTCAATCTATTTTGTTTCCCATAGAGCTTAATACCAAATATATTCCTTTATAGCCCTTTACTTTATTTTAGATATTTGGAAATTGCATTCTTGGATTAGTATTTCTTTCTTAGCTATATTTTCTTTAATAAAGAAAAAAGAACAACAATGAAGTTAAAATTTCTTCTCTAGACTGTCATTAAATATTTGTGTGTGGGGGTGGGGGGTATCACAACTTTCTGCTGTGTCAGGAAACATCTCTACCTCATTACCACTTCTGTTGTACACTGCTTTGCAATTTGTAAAGTACTTCAGCATGTAGTATTTCATTCCATGGTAGAAGGGTAGAAAGAGCAGATGGATTGTTATCCTCATTAACACATGATAGATCCAAGAGGTTGAGACTGAATATAGATTTCCTTCAACACAACTTTTTCCAGTCCTACAATGTTTGAGGCACTGTCATAAGTTCTGGAAGACAGTGGTGGGCAAGATTAAGTACTTGTTCTAATGGAATTTAAATTCTAGTGGCGGGGAAAATCCAGTGTGAAAACAATAAACAAATAAGCACATTCATATTATATTATAACTGCAGATGGTGATAAATGCTATAAAGAAAAATAAAGAGAGTAAAGGATAAAGAATGACCAGCAGGTGATGGTGGCTATTTTTGTTAGGGTGTTTTTTGTGACTGAAGTGAGGGGTGAAGTGGTTGTAGAAGGAGGTAGACCATGGGAAAGTCCTGGCCTGTGCTCTAGATTGATGAGAAGCCATTGGACGACTTTGAGAAGCAACTGGTCCTTTTGGAGGGTGGGGATGGGGGTGGGAAGATGAGGTCTTGCTATGTTGCCCAGGCTGGGCTCAAGCAATCCTCTCTCTTCAGCCTCCAGAGAAGCTGGGACTATAGGTACAGTCTCAGCACATGGATCAGTGAGTCATCCTCTGACTTCCGTTTTACAACTTTCTTCATTTTTCCATCCCATATTATGAGACATTTGAATAGAGTGTAGGAAATCTTTACATAATTCCCTTGTCTTGATTCTTATTTTTTGAGTATTTTTTTAAAAAGGAATGGAGAATATCTTCTTAAAAATATTTGATAACCTGCTTGTAGTGATATAACTATACTTAGAAACACTGAGTTCCAAGAAAGAACAGCAGAGGTGGTCCCTTCAGCCATCTCCACTCACTCTACTCTCTTCCCCGCATGCCGTCCTCCACTCCCTGGTGTCACTAACTGCATCTATGCTAACCTACACCTCTAGCTCAGGCTCCCCACAGCTCCAGATTCATACTTATTACTGTGTATTGTGCACTTCAACTCCAGGGTCCCTCAAGCAATACATCCAGTTTCTGTAAGCAGGCCTTCAGAGTTACTTCAAATTTTTCCCTGTCCATAATATTGAACATCTAATTGGTCACCGAGAATTAGCAGTACTGCCCCTTAAATATCTCCCACATTCATTGTCCCTACTGGAAGCCTTTGTAGTTCTCAGCATGATTGATCGTAGTAATCTTTCCTACTTCTGTTTCCTAGTATATGCGAGGCCCTGGATTCAAACCTCAGCACCGCATAAAAAGAAATAAATAAAATAAAGATATTGTGTCCAACTACAACTAAAAATTAAATATTAAAAAAATAGTGTTTTTCAACCTTGTTTTCATTATTGCCCTGTAAGTTACCTTTTAAGACATGTTTTTGTTATTTCGTGTGTTTGTGTGCACGCGTGCATAGTTGTTGTGTTGTGGTTGAATCTGAGCTGCATTCCCAACTCAGACATTTTTTTTTAATTATTCCTCTCTTCTCCTGAGGAAATTTGGCCCCACACATATACTTTATGTCTATGCATCTATTCATGTACAGTGGCCCTTTGGAGTACCACACAACTTTGTGATAGCTAAGATTTTTTTATCCTCTGAAGAACCAGTTTTTGCCTTTGTTATGGATATAAGGTATACCCTAAAACTTTCTGTGTTAGTGTATTCAGAGATGAAGTGTTTGGATTCTGACAACTGTTAACCTAATCAGCTGATTTTAGTTTGAATGGACTGACTGGGTGGTAACTGTAGGCATGTGGGGCATGGCAGGAGGAAGTGGTCACTGCAGGTGTGCCCTGGCAGGTACATTCCCCATAGCCCCTTTTTCTTTCTCTGCTTTTTAGCTGCCATGAACAGAGCAGTGCTCCTTCACCACCCCCTA